CAGTGGGAATACAAAATGAGGTTAATTATAGTAGCGTATGTTGTCTTCTTTGTAATAAGGAGAAATTGTTTTTATTTATTTAGCTCTAAATTTTCCTTTTCCTATTCGGAGTTAGAGGCACTTATGTAAACAGTGAATGGATTGTATGGAACAAAATGACTCACCAAGATGGACAATAATGAACATAGCTGTGTTGTTACAGGGAAGTACTCAATGACTCAGCTATAGCAGAGGCTGCTAATTGGAACTGCTGCACATGTGGGTTTAGATGAATATCTACCCTGAACCTGGGCCAACACACTTTTTAGCACCTCTTGCTGCATGAATTACTGGTCAGACTTTGAAAAGTGCCGGGTGTCCCACCTTCCATCAAAGGACATTAAAGGAGCTCTGCAGATTTCAATTTTGCCTTGCAGTTAACGCTAATGTGTTTGCCCGTTCTTGGCAGCTTCTATGAAGGGGATGAAGTGTAAAATTCCTATGCATTCCACTCCCAGTAGCATACCAAAATCTGAGGCTTTGTGTTTAAAATGGCTTCTAATATTGCCTTAATCCTTTCATTGGTATCTTCTCAGTCCAGGAGTAATCACCCTGTCTCAATTCTGCCTCTTCTCACAGAACAAGAGAACACCTGTGGGGCTGATCACACTTTGCATCTCACTTTGAGAAAGTCTGAGAAAAAATTTCTCTAATCTTATTTTCATAAGCTTTCCAAATGCGAGAAGGTTGTACCCGAGTTGAACATTTTTCTACCCTGCACAGTCAATAGAACAAATAACATTATGAAGATGTTTTCTGGATCGTAGTGGTCTCTGATGGTGTCAGTCTCTTAGAGCTGTCCTTGGTAGCTGGGAACTCCTGATGTATTCCGAGGTAGAGCAGGTTTTCTTCTGCTACACTGCTGTGCTGTAGAGGCAACCACTAGCAATCTTTAGTTAGTCACATTCTATGCTTTGTTACTAATATCGCTATGAATACGATCAAGAATATAGTTTATTAAAAAATGACTGTTTATAATTTGAGTTTTAAAAATTAGTAATAATAGGACGAATTGTGAAGGAAGTTTGATGTAGATAAATTTGTTATTGCACTCTTGTATATATTTTGCACACTTACATGCTAATCGATATTTCGAATCCCAGAATGAGCCATCCTACCACACATCACAGCCCCATGGATTTAACCACATGATTTCTTTCTTGTTCCATGGACTTCCAACCATCTTCTAGAAAGTCATGAAAGCCTTTTTTGTCTTAACTGTCTATGCTAATTGATTCATACCGTGTGTACATCAATATACTTCAAATAGTTTTAATCTGCTTTTAAGAATTATTTTTATTTATTTATTTAATTTTATTCCCTGTCTTTAGAAGGAAGTAGTCTTTTTTTCCTTTAGAATACTGGATATTTGATGCGGTGATGGTCTTGTTGGAAGAGAGTAGATTAGCAAAGAGAGCTTTGCAGATGAATCTTAACTATTTATGATAAAATAATAGTTCCTGTTACAAGTAGTAAAATGTAACTGTAGTTCCTGGGCTTGATCTGTATTTTAGAGATGATCTTATTTTTTCTTTCCAGCCACATTACTTGCGTGGTAATAGTAAGATGTGTTTCTCTGTATGGCAGGTATCTTTTATAACCTACTTGTTTTCATGTTGATTTTCATGCTTGTGAGCTGACTGTTTACGTGGAACAAACTTAGCTGGTTTTTATGGCAGTGTTTTGTCTTTTAATAAAATAAACCCTTTTGAAGGTGATGTTTGGCTGAAGGCTTTGAGTTGTGAGAAGGCAGAACTGCATCTACTGGTGAAGAGTATTTTCTGTTTTAAGAGGTCCACATAAATCCTTCTCCACTGTTACAGAAAAACATACTTCTACTGTGTAATCAGTTTGTGTCCTTCTTTCTGAAATTGATGCAGGTATTGTCTCTGAATTTGTGTAAATGCACGATGTAGTGGCCATTTAAAATATAACCCCCCCCCCCAAAAAAAAAAACAAACAAACTAAAACAAAGTTACATGAATTTTGGTATAACAGGGTATATACCTCTTTATCAAGTATTGGACAAAAAGATCCATTTTCTTTTTTGTTAAGAACCTATATATATTAAAAGGTGTTTGAAATACTTTCCTCCTGTAATTAATGCTGTCTCAGATTTTCAACAGATTTTTACAAAGTTTATTGTCAATCTTTCATTTCCAAATTAAACGAACAAGCTGCCTGTAAACATCAAGTTTTCCTGATCACTGAATAAATAAATAGGATAAGAGATAATATGAAGCAACTTGAAATAAGTAAGGGTACACTACATTTCTCTTTGGGTTATTTTGAAAGTTGTTCCAAACTTTTGTTTGTTTGTTTTTCTTTTCATGCTAAGTGAATTAGTTATCAGATTCTTGTTAATTTTCTGGATGAAATTTAGCAATTAAATATCTGTGAAAAATGAGGGAGATGCAGAGCTGAACAGGTAAATTCTGTTTTTAAATTAAATCCTCTAAGAATTTCCTTAGAGGGAGCTAATAAAGCTCTTAATCCTAACATGCTCTTAGCAAAGTCTCTAAGATCATGCCTTGCATACCCAAACAATCCTCTGCTTGCTTTCTGTAAGGTTAAGACTGATATGTGACATGATGAAGTATACAGAGAGACTTCAAATAGTTTCAGGCCATAAAAATATTAAGGCGGGAGAGAAAAGTATCTTTTAATTTTTTGGAACGCCTGTGTGAGAGTCAAACTACTTTGTAACTGGAGAAGACCATATTTTTAACAGTTGTGGGAGATACCTGTTTTTATTTTTTTTTGATAATTCGGGTGGGATTATGCTTCATGCTTTGAAGGGCAGAATCTATATTCAGTGCAGACCTTTCATTGGACAAAAGATTTATTTTTTAAAAAGCAATTATCAGCTCCCTTTTTATCTCAGTTGTTGATTGTTTGGACTATATTGAAATTAAATAGCATCCAGTTAACTGTTGTTTCTTTTGCTAGGTATGTATCTTCTAAGTTGCACTGAAATTAATTCAGAAAATCCCAGGTTTATTTCAGTAAGAGTAAAGTGGCAATTATTAAATTGTTGCTAAAGTCAAATGAGTTAATTCTATCAAGATTTCTGCCTTTGCTGTACTTGTCTGTGTTTGTCTTTTTCTGCAAAACAGGATTGCCTTGCATCAAAAAAAAAAATGGCCTGAAGAAAGCTCCAAACTTTCCATTATACTTTTAAACAAACAATCATATATATTTCTTTCTTCAGTGTTAGCTCATATGTAGCTAAAACATTAGAGAACCTAGCTCCTATTGGTCACACAAATTACTTGTTTACAATTACGTCAAACTTGCGTCAGCACTCATTGTTATATTACTATGGTTATATTGTTAACCTTAACCTTGTGCTTGGTTGCTAATCAAAAACTAGCTAGCAGTCTAGATGTTTAACAAAAATAGCATAGCTTTGTTTTCCTTTCTGACCCAACAGACAAAGTTGCCTGAACACCGAGGTGTATTTTATATACGTGTACACAAATTCAGTGCATTTATGTCGGACTAATTCACGGGGTTTATTCTTTGCTATTTGTATTTTCACAGTAAGGTGAATGTTACCACAGTGAAGTGATAAAGGTACATCATCAGGACTAGGGAGGATATTTTCCACTGAATTTTTTTCTGCTTCGTTGTTTTTTTCTGAAGTTCGACTTGGCTTGGGTTTTCATACTTATACATCGGTATTACACACTGAGACCAAAGTGCTTTCTGTTAACGCATTTCAGTGTCAGTGAGTTATTTCTTGCATCGTTTATTGTTAGTTCAGAACCTTCCTTTTGTGAACTCTCAGTTTTATAAGGAAAGAAAAATGGGCTTGTTATTAAGCTTTAGCACTTCCTTGAGTCTGGTGTGGACAACGTGTGTGACCTCTGCTGGGGCACATCATGTCTTTGTAGACCAAAATGTTAATATTATTTTCCTCTTACCAATTTCAGTTCTGTTTATTAAAGTTTGCAATCTTTCACTGTGCTTATACAGTGGCCCCTGTTATGAGTGACATCCAAGAGAAATCTCTAGAAGATATTTGTAATAGTAATAATGAATAATGTTTAACTTGAGTCAGATGGAGATTACTGATTCTCTCCTCTCACTGTGCAAAACCCTGACAATTTGAGATCTTTCCTAGAAGCTCAAGGGGACAAAAAAAAACCATCTAGACCTGCCACTAGCTCTGTCTTTTGATGTGGTGGTAAAAGATATCATTGATGAGAGCAAGCTACCCAGAGGAAAGATTTCTCTGGTGGGCCCAATGTGAATGCAAAGAAAATAGTAACCATTGGAAGGAGCATGTTCAGAAATGTGTTAGAAGTGACTAAATGGTTTCAGAAATGTTTTCAAACACTTGTGGTGTGTAGGAAATATTATCTTTTTGTGTAGAAATTATATACATAGAAATATTTGTATTTAAGGAAGGCATAAGGTGTTGGTTATATTTTTAATTGAAAAGTTTCATTTTCATTTTGGAAATCTGTGTAGGTGATCTATTATTTTTTTAAGATATTTTACAAGGCAGACCAAAGGCATTTTCATGTGATTTCTCTCAGTTACCTTACCTTCAAGAAAAATAATGGAGATAGGAGAAAGTAATATAATATCTGGACTTCTTTAGAAATATGTATATTTTTTCTTAAGTAAAGACTTTTTTTTTGATATGGATTTGACTGAAAACTAATGAATATGGATGTCAATAAATAAGAAAAGGTAAATTTTGCAACAACGTGAAACTACTGAGAATATTATCTGATGACTGGCCTCTGCAGAATGATATAAAGAAAAGACAGAGAAAAAGAATAGTAGTTAACAATAATGATTAGAATCAGTCGGGGTGGAAGTAGATCAGAGAGAATGATTTGGTAACGCCTGGACTTTGAACAAGGTTTTAGGTGTATAGAAGTGAAGTAAGCAATTTGCTGTGGAACTGTATAAGGAACAACCAGGCAGAGTTAGTGATTTCTTCCTGGATGAGTGAAAGAAGTGAAAGAGTTGAAGATGACACCGAGATTGAACCCAGGGGTTTTATGACTCTGAGGGGACAAATAATAGAACTATTGACAGAGGCAGTGAAGAGAGGGAAAAGGAAGAATTTGAATAAAGACAATAAACAACCACTTCAGCTCATGTTAATTGGTATGTGCTCTGTTGACTTCATTCACAGCAGTTGAGGATATGGCCTGTTGAGTTCAGCCTTAATGATAAACTTGAGTTGGAAGGGAGGTCTCAGGATAAAATCTCAGCAAAAATATGGAGAGGTGAAAGACCGAGGTTATAGATCCCCAATTCTTGCAAGTAGTCCTATATCTTGGTACATTGAGTTGGGATGGCTGCTTAGATATCTTAGGGAAGATGAGTTAGCTATGCAAAAGTCAAACGGAAAACATCTGAGACACCCTGAAAGAGAACAGGAAAAGAGAGAAGAAACCCACCAAAACAATCAAAGAAATGTTAAAAAGAAGAAAGAGAGAATGGAACTTTGAAAAGCAAAGTATTTGAAAAAATTCTAATAGTGAGATTAACTACAAAATGAAAGCATACAAATAAACCAAGAGGAAAATGAAAAATAAAGGCATTTTTTCACTCAGTTTAACAGAAAAGAGATAAACATATTAATTCTCTGAGGTAAACATATTTTAGTATAGAAAGTGGATGGAACAAAAATTACTTCAAATAATTCTCATTTTCTGGAATATGTTAGGGAATGTAAAGGTTGTATTTTCTCAGTACTGTACATTTTCAGCTTCTAGTTCAAATGATAACGTGTCAGTGTTTTTTTTATGCTTTATTTATTTACAGAAAACAACACATATGCTGAACATTTGTTAATAGATCAATGTTACACTTAAATGTTTGCATTTAGGCGATGTGTAAAGAAAAAAAAGACTAAAAGTTTAGGAGAATACTGAAACAAATTATTTGTCTTGTGCTAGGTAGTTTTATTTCTCTCTATAAAAATATAGATCAGCAAGCAAATATATGTGATATAAATATTTATTTGTCATATGTTTTCCAAAGGGTTGTAACATGGCATTATAGTCTTCAGATTGGTTTTAATGTTTAAATAAATTCTTTAATTAAATTCAGCTCTTTTTTATTTAAAGCTGTCTTTTGGGGAGATATTGCCTTAGATGATGAAGACTTAAAAATCTTTCAAATTGACAGGACGATTGACCTTACGCAGCACTCCAATGAAAGACTTGGCCATAACACAGGTATGATGCTTCAAACTTACTTTAACTTATTTTTTCCTGTTATTTACTTCTGCATAGAAGGCAATATCTGTTTTAAATGTAGAAAATCAGTGTAATGTTTTGGGTAATATTAGTTTACAGTTTAGAAAGTTATTAAACAATGAGTGTAAATTTTTTAAGAAAGAGAAAAGCTAAACTTTTCATTTTATTCTGGCATTTCCGATTAAAAATATCTTATTGAACTGAAGAGCAGAAGCTAGTAGGAACCGTAAGTTCACCCTGCAGATGGTCGTGAGGGAAAGAAAATTGTACCAAGTTTTGTTTTTGTTGGGAAAAGTTCCCGATAGCAGAGCCCAAATACCCTATGGAGAACATACATGGAATCTTGGAGGGGAGACTGGGAGTCTTGGATTAGAACCCCTCCTTTTTCTCTTTTTTCAGTTCAATCCAGATCTGCACCCAGATCTAGAAGAAACACAAGAACATCTCATCCTTGCTAGAATTTTCCTTGTCTGAAAGGCAACTATCTATCTGATATTTTAATGCTGGTTTCTTTGCTGTTGTTAAGGTGCAGCTGCAATCTGATTAACACAGGTAGTTGCGTATTCAGACAAATAAATAGAGATATTATTTATGTATAAATATGTGTGTATGTGTGAGAGAGAAAACATAATCCATGCCTAAATGGATGTCTTTCTAATGTCTAAAAAGATCTATGCTGTTAGTCTGATGTGTAAATTCGTAACTGAGAATTTGTAAACTTTTAGGTTATGATACCAAAAAAGACAAGTTACTTAGGAAAAGTGTGGAAAAATGTTATTAGAAAATATATAAATGCATAATTTAAATCTGTTTTCTATTAAGCAAGTTCTATATGTTCCTGAACTGAGATACTATTAACTTGATGATTCCTGATATGTAGAAATAAGGATCACTTTGAGGAATGATCAGAAAGGAATTTTTCAGACCGAAGAAGCAATTTTCAATTTAACTTTTAAATATTGATATATTTAATATATTTTTAGTTTTCCTAGTTAGATGTCATGATTAGATTATTTTTTTAACAACTTGGAAATTTATTTCGTCTCCTTTAAAAGCCACTTGTTTTTTGAGGCAGGAACACCTTTTATCATTTCTAGATCAAGACTGGATTTTAAAATGTTAATAGAGTCAGCGGTTTCCCTGCTCCCCTTTCCCCCAAACAGTTTTAATTGGCTTTCAAGGTATTTCAGGCACTGGTTTTGCTGACAAAATGTAGAGAGCAAGGTCGGTCATTTCCCCTTAATGTGGATGCAGTCAAGTGATTTCTTTGGCCTGCTGACTTTCCTTTTTCTTCTTGCTTTTCTATTTTTTTCTTTTTAAGTTCACAGTTACTTTTTTTTTGTCTGTTGCTACAGAAAGAATATATATTTCTAAGCTGTTTTAAATAATATTTAGTATTTTATTATTTGATTTTCTTTCCTTACGTGTCTTGAGATTTGTGCATTATCTTTTCCTGTGGACAATATCCTGTTCAGGATATTGAGTCATCCTATTGTGGATTACTAATGCATTTGGATCAAACTTTTATGCTTTTATTAAACAAGAGGAATCAATGCAACTGCAACGGTCACTGAGACTGGACTTTGGAGAACAAACTGCTGAAGTTAATGATTTTGTAACAGCTCTCAGTGAACCCTCAACATTCTTGATTTTTCTAAAAACAGAGTTGGAGAACTCAATTTTACACTTTACATGTATAATTCTGTTTCTAAATTGACAGCATTTTGATGCATAAGCTAGAAGTTTAGCAAAACTGCAAAAACCCACTGAGATTTTTTCCCTCTAATTTCCAAAAGAGTAAAATTGCCAACAACTAACTAGTCGATATTGGGTAGCAACTGGAAAAGCAATGTAAAATGTCTGTAAAATAGAAAAAAAATATTTTATCTTAGTTACAGACACAATGACAATTAATGGCAAGCTTGATTTCTAGTCACTTTCTGTTGTTGACCTTCACAAACTAAAGGTGACATCAGGTAGAAGGGTTAAATACTTGAGTGGAAACCACCAAGATGGAGTTGCAAAGTTGCGTTTTTCATTGCAACTACTAATTAAAAATCCTGAGATTCACAGGCTTGGATTCACGTTATGTGACTGCTCATTTGGTGGGATTATCTGTCTGGATTTGCAGGGTCAGATACTTAATCTGTGAGCTTCTCAGAGTGTGCCTCTGTCATTTTATTTGTCATTTTGTCCAAGGACTATGCGTAATCATTGTAAACAGAAACAACAGTAAAGCTGATAAAATTGTTATGCATGTATTATTACTGAGTCCAAACAGCCAGAAGTATCCTTCTCCTCCTGCCTGAAGTATCAGAAAAGGCAGCAAATATGATTTTATATTTGATTTTTTTTTAAACTGTTTTAGACTGTGGCTTGGCAATTTTTTATTCATATAAAACAGGTTAGTGATGTGAGATGCTACTTCAGTTTTTCACTAAGTTGAACACACAGGCTGTGTTAAGACAGAAATGATAGTTTAATATCTTCTTCTAGAAATAATTATAGTACAATAGTTTCTTTAAGTAAATAATGGAGTCTTTGTTGTGTTTGTTTTTTTTAATTTGTTTGGGTTTTTTTCTGTCTGTGACAGTTGTTGCTTTTAAGGATTTTTTTTTTATATTTGTTTGGAATCTGTAGCTATATGCCTTTTTAGTAAGATGAATGTGAACATGAAAGACAATTACATTAATGATGATCAATACAAGGAAGGGAATTGTTATATTCTCTGTAGTGTATGTTATAGTTACCATGTAACTTGGAAAGGAATGTGTTGAACTATTACCTCATCTATCTAAAATGTTTTAAAAAATTTGGAAAATTTTTCTCATGGGAGCCAGCAACTATGTGACAGTGTAATCCAAATAATTAGGCACATTGTTATCCACTGAGCAGCCACACAAGCTGACTTGCCTTATACGGAATTTTCTCATCTGTAATATGATATTAATTTGTTGTTTAATAAATATATTTTCCATATATATATGAAAGTATTTATGGGAAGTTGGGAGAGGTCTTTTTAGTGGTGTTTCAAGGTTTCAATGGTTCTTTTAGTTCTATCTTAATTTTGCAGTTGTATAAATAGTTTGAAAACTCTCGTTCTATAAGATACTGAGTTTTAAAATGCAACCTACCACAAACTTCTGAAAATAACTTTCTGAACAATTCTGAATGATTTATTGACTAGTGTAGAATGTGCTCTTTCTTCTGATTTACTGGTGTTTGCAAAGGCACTTGCAGGCACAATAGGGTTGTATGTGAAGTGAGTATGTGGCAGATGCATCAAATGTATGCAGTAAACCTAGAAATGCATTGTGTTTCTGTAAATGGCACAGTAAATGTTAAAATCAACTACTTAATAGCTTACTTTTTCTTGCTCATTGATTGCTGAAATGTGACAGACATATATATGCCTGCAAGGTCTTACTGCATATATACTGGCACATGATGGTTCAAAGCCTTTTGAGCGTGTTGATATCTATTTGCATGCTGACAAAGAAAACCACATCTTTCATGGTAAAATCAGCCATATTAAGTTTGCATCAGTTTTGTTGTGTTTTATTTATTTATTTTTTTAAATGAATCTTTGGGTGTTTGCTTTCCCACTTTCCCCTCCCTTGAAATGAGAAGATTATGGCATGCATTCAGGAAATTTCTGAGAGAGTAAGGCTTTTAGCTGTCAATCAGTATGGTTCTGAGGATGTCAAGGTCACCAGGAAGAAAAAAAGCTCTAAATAATAATTAGATGATGTAATTGTCATGACTTGTCTGAATAACAAAAACATGTTGGCTTACATTCTGGAATGCATATTAGAAAATTTTTCAGCTTAAAATATGTTCTTATTTCATTGTCAAGAATACTCAAAGAATTTGTATGCGAGCCATTGAAGAATGTTAAACGTCTTTTATAACACATTGCGTTTTTTACGGGGTATTTTCTAACCCCTCCAGGCTATATAGTTTCTGTAGGTGTAAGATTCCATGTTTTTAACTTTGGTAAAATTCCCTTTTTTTTTTTCTTTTCTTTTTAAAGGTGGCTTTGGAGAGCTTGGAATGTCAAAAAAACGAGGTGCCCTCTATCAGCTTATAGACAGGATAAGAAGATTTGGCTCTGGTATTTTCACTGTTTAAATTAGCAGGTTGCCTGATATGATAATGTATCGTGAATATTAACAATGATAGTACTTAATGCTATAAAGTCTTTCTGTATTACTATTGGCATAAACAATATATAAAATAAATAGTACAAGAATAGTAATGAAGACATTTGCTCTTTGTTGCATTTTTGTACAGGTCTATTTCCAGCATCAAATCTGGAAGCCAAAACATGTAGTTTTAAATCTCATCTTATAAAATTCCTTGGCTTTTTCGTATGGCAGTGTTCACAGTTATCAGTTCAACTGATGTCAATGCAATGTCTTTTCAGTATAGGTAGGCTATGCTGCATAGCTGCTAATTTTATGTTTGGGTGTTTGTTTTGTTTTTTTTTTCCTGGATCCAGTTGGGGCATTCTGATGAATCATATTGTGTCTGAAGCATTTATGGTGTGTTACTCTCAACAAAGACATTTTTATACTAATAATACTCTTGTCATTATGAACGTAGTTGAATTTAGCAGGCTGTATATGTGGAATCCCCATTAATACTGGTTGAGTTTACTCACCATAATTGATGCAAGGAGACGTCACTTTGTCATGAAACCTCAACCTCAAAAGGAAAATATGTGAAACTCCATTGTAATCACACCACATCAAGTCTAAATGCATCACTGCATATCTTGTAAGATTAACCAGAGTACAGTAACTGCCTTCGCAGACGTGCTCTGGTATATAATCTTTATTCTTTATGAAAGAATTACAATTGTAGTATTGCATAAATGCTTGTCATCTTTTGCATACAATTTGGAATCAATTATTACTTCTAGTTCAAAAGAAAGCTGATAAAAAGAATTTTGAATGGTAAAACATCTGTATTAACGTGTGATGTTCAGTAACGACTGCATATTAAGTATAACAATAGTTTTTGTCAAGTTTCTATTTGTGTTGTAGACTGTTGTGTAATTCTCATTTACACACTTATTTAACTACAAGGACAAGTTATTTGTTTTACCTGGGTGTTTTTGTTTTAAACCCTGAAATTTTCTATGTCATTCCTGATACAGTTTAAGTTACATGTCAGTTGTTACAAAGGCAATCTTTTCTTGCGGTATATCAAAAGCTTTCTCTCTGCCTTGTGCTCTAGCTTCTTCCCCTTCTTCCTTCTGCTGCTCTCCCAGCTCTGGGGCTATGCCAAGATACCATACCATGATCCTGCCCTGGAATCCTCCCTGATTCTGACATAGCCATTAATACTTAGGGGGAACTAGTATCACAGGGGATACTCACAGAGGGAAGGTGTGCTCTTCAATGAGGAGTAAGACTTCAACTCCACCGAGCAGGATTTATTGATTGCCTTTCAAGTGATCAGTTATAATTAGCTGCCCTGATATGCATGCTAACTTATCTGTTACGGTGTGCAAGTCCTCATCTAACTATCCTTATCCTCTTCTGTTGTCACAGTAAGATTCAGCTGATCTGGGAAAGATTTAGCTGTGATGGGATGAATGGTGGTAATATTGCTCAAAATAATAGACATTTTTTTGTCTTGTAGAGAAATTCCAGCCATGAGTGATACTTATCCATAGGATTTCAAAAGCTTGTTTATGAAAAATATATATTTGCATCTTGAAGTGTTGTAAAGTTACTATCAAAACGAAAGTCACTTTTTCATCTGAAAATATGTCTACTGGTAATAGCTACAGGTGATAGAGATTGAAAGGAGAAACGACCCCCTCTAACTTTTTCCGCACGCATACAACCCACGACAACAACTTTGCAAATAATTTATCTATTTTTCCTTTGTAATTCCTGATAATAAAAACCAATCTAATACTTTAGGCACTTTTTTTCTGTCCAGTGCTTTAAGGATGGTCATGCACTTGAGTTTTCCAGATTGTGCAATGAAAATGCAAAGGACATTGAATGCCTTGATTACTTTGGGTCTGTCCAAAGTCTTTCCTTCTTTGCAGAAAAAAGCTTAGTTTATTTTAAAAAAATTAAGTACACAGGGAGAATGATTTTTACATTATTATTATTAAATGAGAAAATTTAGATGAAATTAAGCAAGGTTGATAAATATATGTGCAAATTGCTACTGTAGATATGTTGAATAATGGAGACTTAGACTCTTCATTTTGAGCATTTATCAGAAAACTAAGTAATGAAAGACTTTTGCATAACAGCAATGTCCTGCTTTTAAAGGGCATAAAGAAATAATCTGACTTTCACTTGCTAGAAGATGATTGTTCTGTTTTGTGTGTATGTGTGATCTCATTCAGCGTTTTAATTATCATTACAGGCTTTGAGCAAAATAATACATCTAAAGGAAAAACTACTGTAAAATTCTCAGGGAAAAATGAGAAAAACCGATTTCCCAGGGCTGCTACATCACGAACAGAAAGAATATGGCCGGGGGGTGTCATTCCATATGTAATAGGAGGAAATTTCACTGGTAAGCTTTGTGCTTTGGATGAGGAGAAGAAATATGATTTTTTTAATTGCCTTTTTTTTTTTTTTTTTTTGAGTAAAGTCATACTATGGAAGTCCATAGAAGCGTTTCTGTTGGATCAGGTCTGAAGTACATCTGTTCTGAAAATATTAGTCATACTTCAAAAAATTGTTCCCAAAGGCAAGCTACATAATAAAAATGTATAACTCTGTTTTAGAAAGGGAAGGTTCTTTTTCTTTGCCTAATATTTCTTGTTCCATGTTTGTTTTCAAGAGCCTAAGTAGCAGAATGTCATGAAATCTGTTTTTTAAAAAATTCAGGGTATTTAGCACAAGACTGTAACGAATTTAACTAGTGTGACATGTATTCTGCTAAACTGATTTCACTCAACAAACTGACTCAAATGTGTTTTGTAATTCCTCAGTTTGATTTTCAGATGGGTACACACAAACATTATATATGACAAGAAGAAAGACTGACTTTAAAATATATAGAATTCTTAGCAGAAAACTGTAGAAAAAGTTTAAAACATTTGTTATCCTTGAAAAATGTAAATGGATCGATGTCAAGGTGGACATAAGAGGTAATTTAAAACAAAAAGCAGACACATATGGGAAGAGATATATAATAACATCTTATTTATTGTGCACAAAAATACAGGGAACCAAAAGAAACATGCAAATGATCACACATTGTATGCGTATGTGTATGGAGAAACCAGAATCATTCCTTTCAAACTGACAGCTACAGTGTGACTTTTAGTTCAGATATTTACATAGTACTATATCAAATGTGACCTTTACTTTAAGGTTGCCATCTTCTGAAATAACAGTAGTAAACTAAATGAAAGCATATAATGTTAAACATTTCATCTTTTTCATAATGAAAGATAAATACTAAAGCTTGGAAAGCATTGCTTAAAAATAGAGGGCAAGATGGGATGAAATAACCTTTCATTTTTAGGTTCTAACATGATTTGAACTTGCTGCTTCTATGAACTTTGAGGTTTTGTTGTCTTTTAAGTTTAAAAAAGTTTTATTTTGTTATTTTTTAAATTATCCTATGCTGTAACATGCATCTTTACAAAAGTCTTCAAGTTAGATGCGTTTCTGCTAGCAAATTCATGACAAATAGTACTGTTCTTTGTGGATTTCCAGCTCAGAAGGAATACAGTTATACTCTCAGATGCTGCCTCTAAGTTAATAAGCCTTGTTTGTCAACAGTGAAATTAAATTGCTATACTTTCTCAAGCACTGTATACTCGCTGGATTTGTATTTTGTGGTGAGAGCTAGCCTGGCAGCTTCTGCATCTGTAGTGTAGTTTTGATTGTTTCTGAATGTGTTTCTCATTTTAAAAACAAATATCTGAGTATGTTTAGTATTGTACCTAATTAAGAATTTCTCCCTTTTGGTGGATTATTTGCTTTCTGAAAGATTTTGATGCAAAGAAGTGGAGACTGGTCCCTGTTCAAGACAGCATTATTGAAATCAAATGCCTTGACTGGCATGTTTTTTTACATGGCTTAGGCTAAATTATCTCCAGATTTGAAGGCTGTAGGATGTTTTTTTTTATTTTTTTTTTTCCTTTTGGCCTTATATTTAGGACCCGGGGTCCCCAAAATCCCCCCCCCCCCCCCAGTGTGATCTGATTGATAATTTTAACTGGGAAAGTGCTAAGCAAACATTGTGCTAATGCAGGTACATAGGCAACACTATATTTCTTCTGATGTCTTCCTCTAGTGTAACATAGCTGTGCTTTTTATTGCAGGTTTTATGTTTGCTATAGCGTATCAGACAGCATTGTTCTCCTTGCAGGCAGATAGGTTATGATGAGCTGATGGTCTGAGCATCCCCTTAATTGGAATCTGGCAGTATGTGGGATTGCCAGTACACAAGACTTCATGATCCAGTGACTTCTTCCAGGCCTATATTCCTAGTATTGAAATCTGATTTTAAGGAACAAGACACAATTAGAAAAGTCTTTTATTTCATCTCATACAATTATTCTTCCAGGCACCCAGCGCGCCATGTTCAAACAGGCAATGCGACACTGGGAAAAGTACACGTGTGTTACCTTTATTGAACGCAGTGATGAAGAAAGTTATATTGTATTTACATACAGACCATGTGGGTAAGTGTCTACGTATGGTAACAGATACTCATGCTTTCAATGTTTGGCCATGTTTGTCAGCTTTGCAGTTATAAGTGAATTTATACTTCACAGGAAAATGAGTAGTTACTGTATTTAAATGATACATGTGTTTTGCTTGGCTTTAGGTTCATTGAAAGCAGTATGTATAGTAACTTTTTGAAGTTATGCCTCTTTTGTCTATTTCTAGATAAAATGATCTTGTATATATACATAGATATGGCACTTTTTATTTGACTTTCTGTCATACTTTTAATATTTATATGTATTGTTCGAAGGTATTTCAGGCTTATTGTTTGTTTATTCCTAGCTTTCTCCGTGTCATGTGTTTACTGCTGAATTATGTATAGACATCTATCCCATATTCCTTTGCCAGCTTAGTTGTTGTTAATTGTAACTTTAACTCTTCTATAGTTAGACTGTCGTTGCCCAGATTTGTTTAACCACCAAATTCATGACCATTTTGCAAATTCCTTCTTCCAGATCATTGATGTGTAAAAGTGACCAAAACAGGTTTTATTACTTGTAAGTGCAGCTTCCCATTAATCACCAAGTTCCATCTTCAGATATTTCTGCTCACAAATGCCTTTCAGATATGTTTGTTATTTATTCCACTCAGAATTCTTAATTTTATACAGTGGTCAGTGAACTTCCTGAGTGCACCATGTTAGTTTTTCAAGAGCGGTCACTACCTGTGGAAATACTGTACTTCTAATAGTCATCGTCTCTTTGGGTTTTAGGCTCCATAGTGAATAGCTCTCTGTCTTGCTGACTTCCGGATCAATGAACACTTTACATGCCTACTTTTGAATTTTTATGGGATAGGGTTTTGAAAAGAAGTTTTGGGACCTTTGCGTTGTAGGAATGATCCTGAATGTACTTAATTATAGCCCATAAAATTACTTGTAGACTTATCTGTTTAAATTACCTCTGACATTCTTTTTAAGGCATAGGACAACATAATAAAACCCATTCCTAGGCTATTTTAAGAAAGGCATCACCTTTGCCCTGGAAAATCTCTGAGCCACAGATCCTTGCAATCAGGGAGCTTATTCTGCTGGATTGCCTGTGAACTTGCCTGTCATGTTCTTGTGCTCCCGTAGGTCTGCTGTAGACCCCTGTTAGAAACCGTGCCAAATGAAAGGGGCTTTTGTTCTGATCCAGCATGGCTATTATTTTAGTTAACAATCATACCCGTAAGATAGTATTCAGGGATACTGACATACAGCTGGAAGAGAAACGGAAAGTAGAGAATAATTGTGATAGCTCCCTCCACTCACAGAGGCAGAAAGTAATGTAAATTTAAACAGAAGAGTGTGAAAGGTATAAGTGGTCTCAGGTGCTTTAGAAGGAGAAGTATGGGGTTATCTGAAAAGATCTTGGATTAGTGAAAAGTAAATTCTCCAACTTCAAAGTGCCCAAAGCCAAACAACAGAAAATCTCTCCAGCCAAAACACTGTTCCTTAGACTGGTTGATGCTTCATGAGATCCAGTCACTTTAGGCCGTAATAAGTTTAAAACAAAAACAAGGAAGACTGTGGCTACAAACAGTCCACCAGTGATGAAAAAACCCAGGCTGAACAGAAGGGGCAGTTGAATGACTCTTTTGGGGGTCCTGAATACATAAACCATTTCAGGAAGAGCTGGATAAATAAGAACGTATCTTCTCTGGGTGAACGGGAACCACTGTGCACTACCCACCAGGATAAAGTGCTGATGCAGGATTTTCCATGGAAAGAGCCCAGACAAAAGTGACACCAAATCATCTGCAAACATTTTCTGCTACATGGCCAGTCACACTGAAATTAATCTCACTTCTTTCCCATAGCACCCTGCTGTGTTGGTTTGTTAGCACACTGTGTCATTATTGTTTGCAGCACCATGGCAGCTAACACTCACAGATGAGGGAGACTGTATTATACTTAGCACTGTTCAGATTAAAAACTAAATTATGAACCCTGCCCCAAAGAGCACATAGTCAAAACATAACGCATTTAATGAAACAGAAAGTGGATACAGTCATATATGTGGAAATTCAGGTGGCAATATCTACAAATGTCTCAGATGACAGCATTAGCATGCTAGCAAGTGAAGTGTTATTGAGCCTTTGTAAACATTAAGGATATTTCGAAGGAGTGTAATGCATTACTTTTTGCTGCAGTTCATGGGAAGCTCATCCCAGAAGGCCAATGGTGAAAAAAACACATTTGAAATATAGCAGCTGGTTATCAGAGATGCATGACCTTCCTAAAGTTGAGAGTTTATATATCAGCAGTGAACGAGAGATAAGTTTTGATTACCATACACCCATAGGACTGAAGTGATCTCAGAAAGACGTTTAATGTATTCTTAAGACAGAAACAGCTATACCTAAGTCATTGCTGATATATGCTTGTCTAACTTGTTTCTAAAAAACCAGCAAAAATGAATACTTCACAGTCTGCTAGGAAATGCATTGCTTCAGTATCCTTACTATAAGAAATGTAGGAAGTTCGGGGCAGTATTTTTGTTCATAGCTAAACCAGATATTTCTTGCTGCAATTAAAGTCCTATTTTTTTTTTTCCTGCTTACCGTGGCCATAGAAAATAAATTATTCCTGTTTCTTTTTTTGAAGGAATCTATTATATGCTTTAAGACTGTTATGTCCACCCTCAGTTCTATTTTTGTTTTAGGCTAGAAAAAGCCTAATTCACTTAATCTTTCCTGGTAAGTCATGTTTTCTAGGCTTTTGATCACATCGTTATTCTCTTTGAGATTCTCTTCAACTAGTCCACATCTTTCTTGAAATTGAGGACCCAAAACTAGGGCGTGTTTGTTCAGAGGAGTCATTGCTGTTTCTGAGCCAGTGCTAGAGCTAATTTGTGTGTCTTGTACTCTCTCCTTCCACTTAGGTACCTAAGCATGATTGGGCAACCTGGTGTAGTGGAGGGTTTCCCTGCCCATGGCAAGGGGGTTGGAACTAGATGATCATTAAGGTCCCTTCCAACCCTAACCATTCTATGATTCTATGATGCTTGCCAGTTCTCAACAGCTGCCACGTTCTACTTGTGTTCAGTTGCAGTGTGACTCCAAATAAGAACCAGAGTTTTTTCCACAGCATTGATACCCCATCACTGGTTCCAGCATGTGCCATGTTTTACATCTCTCAGGACACCAAATAATTCCATATTTCCCTTTTCAGATTTCTTTTCCAATCTATTAAAGTTGCTTTCAAGTCCAGGCTTGTCTTCATGATATTTAGCAGTCTTTTCTCAGACTGCATGTTTAAAGAGTATCTTCACTTCGTATAATATTCCATCAGCTTTATACCCCCCATTTATATCACAGTTCTCTAGTTTGCTTATGGGCAGCTTGTGTGGAAAAATGTCAAAAGCTTTACGACTAGATCCCTCCTTCTCTTCAGAATAATTTCATTTTATGCAGTCTTAAACTATAATTATGTCATCACTTCTTGTTTGTTTACCTGATTTTGAGAACAGTTAATTTTTGAAATATTGTTTCTTAGTACAGCTGAAGCACTTAGTAGTTTGAAGTTTTGTAATTACTGATAAGTCATTTGTACCCATTAGCTGCAGATGTGAGAATAAGACATTGAGATACTAGTATTGAGATACTAGTGTTTATGTTTCTTCTACCAAAGCACTGTACATTTACATTAATGTCTATTACAGCAAATATTTATGCAGCTAGTTGATTAGGACAACTAAAACTCTAATCTGTAAACAGGTTCAAAATGCTCTTTGTTCACTATTGCTTCTTTATCCTATGTTTCTTGCTATCAGATAGGAAGCACCTGAAGACACAGTCAGTATACTTCTCTGTATGCAAAGCCAAAAAAGGGGTCAGGAAACTGGGATGGCCTCTAGTCACATGCTCTTAATAAATATTACTGAGTACAAGATCAAGCTTCTTTTTATATAGTGAGACAAAAAAAGAACAATTAGTCATGTTGTTCTGGCATCTCAGCATGCCTTTGATCTGACTTTGTGGCAATTTTTGTTCTCTACTAGAAGACTTAAGTACTTTTTATGATAAACTTTAGATGACTTATTACAATCACTACTGTGTCCTCTTGTATGAGTATTTGACAAAGCTGTCTGAGATACAGGAAAATCAAATCTCTATCATGTGCTTCCCCAGACATTGTAGACTGAACAGCTTCTGAATGTTTTAATGTTTTTTGAACTTGCTAATATATTAAATAGACATTACAGGCAAGTTCTTAAAGTTGGTGAAATAGGTAAATTCATTGCCCGAGGTACACTTTTGCAGCATTCTTTAGCTATAAGAAAGTTTGCATGTTATAAAAAGTGCTCGATCACTTTTATGGAATGAGAAGAAATTCAGAGTTCTGCTAAATAATCTGTGGCATTAGGGCTGACTCATGTACTCAGGTGGTAATTAACTCCAACAGCTGGCACTCTTCCTGCCCACAACAGTTGACACAGCTTCTCTGCTGGTTGTGGTGTGGCCTGCAGCATGGGTATGATCAAGGTGCAGGTGACCAGTTACTATAGCCTAAAGCACAGTGCGTTACAAAAACTGAATGAGGGGTGATTTATGTTACTACACTGGGACAGGGAGCTGTTAATGGAGGAATGGACTCAATTGGCTGTTCTTTGTAATGTTGGGGTACTCATCTCCATTGAGCAGGTGAAGGAGCAGTAGCCACTTTTGCCGTCCCAACAGGTCCTCTTGGGGCAGTGAATCACAACATTTGGTAACCATGATGGTATTGGTCCCTGACAATAAGCAAATTCATCAAGCCACGTCATAGCCAATATCTCCTTTGTACAAAACGTCTTGTGATTGAAATTGGTGGTTTTTCACCAAGAAAAAACCCTCTGCTTCTTCAGTGAGATTTTGCTTATGAATTTTGTGAACTTCTTTCTGTTGCTTTGTGTAACATGTAGGTGATGATATGCAGTCTTAGTATGCTTATGAAGTTCTGCAGTTTTTCGTCCACAACTTCATATACTCA